AGAGCAGTGGTTACAGACCAATTTCACCAAGACTTGCCTCCATCTTGCCCACTGGAAGCTACTGCTGTCAAATACTACCAGAGCTGTTTCTTAACAATAGGATTTCAGCTGGATTATGAGTTGATTATGAGGGCCCTTCCCACCTTCTCCTTGACCCTTGTCTGCACAGCTGGGCAACAGGTATCACAGTTCTTTCTTCAGCTGAGAATATGCACCCATGAGCAGCATAGGGCTGGGCAAGCAAAGACAAAACTCAGCTAGACTTCTTCCAAGCTAAGAACACACTTTTATGAAACAGCAGCCTCCCCCATCAAGTACAGGTTGAGGAGTCTGGGTGCTTGCCAGTTCACAAAGCTTTCAGAGCAACATTTCAAGCACTTTATATACACGATATGCACACACACACACTCCCACTAGCCAGGCGCCTTTTAAGTACCGATCCCACTTAGGGAGTTAGCAATCTTAAAAGCAGATTCTTCCTCTTGAGTATAGCATACAACTCCCCTGCCCACAGAAAACCTGTTGCATGTGCCACTCTCAGTGCTGACAGCACTGGGAGAGGAACAACATATTATTTACACCTGTCAAATCAGGACAATGTCACACCCACAAAGGGTGTGCACAGAAAATAGATGCACACAGCTGAGATTTCTGGAGAAGACTAGTTCTTTTGCTATAGGCTCCCAAGCTTTCAGATTGAGGCAGACATAGCATCTATGTAGGAGAGATACTGACAGAGGAAGCCTCTTTGATGTGGAAAGCAGCATGGATTTTAACAACTCCCAGGGCAGTAAGGGACCATCTGTAGGAAGCTAGGAAAGCTTGTGTTGTGGCAATTCTCTCTAGAGAAGCCAGAACAGCAAGTCTCACTGGGATAAGGAGTTCTTTGAAAATCTCAAGGGACCCATGGTTTCTTTAAGGATTTCAGGAACTTTAAATGGGGAAAATATTTGGGAGGAGGGATCTCTTTGGGAGAAATGTTGGAAATTAGGGCAATGCATTATGCATCCTCACTCCTACCCATTCCTTTCACCACATCTGGCAGCACAAACTGCAGGGTTGAAGTCCATGAACATCTCCCCACTCCCAAAACAAAACAAAAAAAGTATAATTAGAACAGAACCCTGAGCAAGAGAGATTTTCTGGCCAAAAATGGCAAAAGCGTGAGGTGTCCCAGGCGAGCCAAACGAGGCAGATTGGCACTGACCTCACTCTCTCTCGCTTTCCCAGCCTGCTCTGGAATTCAGCTCGGCATGCAGATAGAAAGGAAGGGAGGAGTCTGCATTCAATCAGTATACACTGATCTTTGTGGGCACTCTTAAACCTACCCAGCTGGAAATCAGAGGCACTAAGCACCCTCAGGAAGACAAGAGGAGTTTGTCTAGAGACACAAAGTAGAATAGCTTCCCCATTCACTCATTCCCATAACTAACCACAATTTGCCACCTTCCTCTTCCCTAGCAATATATACGTTTTAGTTTTATCAGGGACCAGGGGTGGTTGTGGGCAGAAGACAGCAGTCCAGTAAGTTCCTATTTCACATCCCAGCTAAATGGGACACCAAGTCTACAAGAACTGCTCACTTATGAAAAATATCCCAGGGCTTCTGGACTTTGTCGTCAGCTCCCTTGGAGATCCACAGCACTCCCAAGATTTTTTTCCATCATTTACACAGCTGCTTGTTGTAGTACTTCCAAAGAAGCGTGACATCTAACGGTTCACCGATAGATCCATGCCACAGATAAGACAAACTGAGCAAGCAGGTGCTCTCTGGACAGCCTTGAGGAGGAGTTTGCCAGGGCCACACTCCCTTCTCTCATATGAAGTTACTGTGCTGAACAGGAATGCACCTCACATATAACCTACCCATGCCAACAGAAGCCAAGTCAGCTCTGCCAACAAGGCTGCAACACCCCCGCTAGTCTTCCCTTGCCAGACTCTCCACAGGCTTTTTTCACTCGAGTGAGGGGTAGGAATGGAGTGCATGCTGGGACAGTGACATGAAACTTGACTTTTAGAGGCATATGCTTTTCCCACTGGGCCAGAACTGAAGAGAAGCTGTTCATCTGCAATTCTGTTTGTAAAATGCCCTCGCTCTAAACACAGATTAGGTATACAGAGCTCAAAACCCTGACCAATCAGAAGATGGGATACTGGCTCATATAAATCAACAAGTAGAGGTAAGCCTGATCTGCTAGACAGGGTGTGTACGAAAAGTGGTTGTTGCTCAAGAATACGATCCTTGAAGCACAAAAGAAAACCATTCTTGCAAAGAGGAAAGGCAGCTGGCAAGCCCTCTGTCTCAGGCACTAAGGTAACTGCTCCTTTAAGGGCAGAAACTGCCTAGAGAGAGTGCCCTAGCAGTCAGGCAGGAACCCCACAGGTGCAGGTTACCGTGGCAGCAGGCTAATGAGGGAATTGGCCTGCACCTGTAGCTGGTCAGCTGACTGGAAGAGGCAGGGGGACGGGGCCCTGGGCACATATAAACCCCAGGGCTGGGACTAGAGGGTTAGTTCTCTGTCAGCAGCCAACGGGGAAGGAGCTGTCATAGAGGAAGGAAACTAGAGATGCTTGACTGCCTGTTCTGCTTGTGGTAGGATTAAGGGGACTCCAGGAGCTCACCAGGTCCCCTGGCCTACAAGGCACTTAGTGCTGGGGGTGGGGTTTGACTCTTCTAAAGAGACAGAGCACACCCTGAACTGCTTATGTTACGTTATAGCCCAGGGGCTCATATTATGGTTACTAGTGATAGACTGGTGGATCGGGCTGAGGCTACTGGGGAAGGAGAGTGCCTCATTAGGGGGGCCCACTACAGTGAGCAGGCCCCAGAGCCGTGTGGACGCCGAGACAGGGCTGTGGAGAGCCCAGCAATAGCAAGGCCCAAGAGAAATGTGTAAATACCATCTGTGAGACTTGGGGTGTAGTAAAGGTGCAGGTTTGGAGCCAAGCATCTAGCCCATTAAGGCTAAGGGTGCCCCGTGAGGCAACCATTTTGAGCGGGACCCAAAAAGGGGTCCAAAGAAGCCACAGGGTTCAGAGGGGTCCATCAGGGATGTGTCCAGGAACAAATAAGGGCAGCCTCCCTATATTATAATTACCAGCAAGACATGGCAGGCAAGGAAAAGGGTGCCCGTTGGGCAAGACTGGCATGGTCACAGAGCCCTAGAGGCATTACGGCCATCCCTGGGGACCCCATCCCGTGATACCCTCCTGGCTTAATAGGGACATTGCGGTCCTCTTAAAAAAAAGAAAAAGAAAAAGGGAAGCTAGGGATGGCCCTCAAGGAGGACTATACAACAGTGGCTGGCACTTGTAGGGGAGGGATCAGGAAAGTCAAGGTAGCAACGGAGTTTAGGTTAGCTACAGGAGTCAAGGACAATAAGAAGTCCTTCTTTAGGTATGTAGGTAGTAGAAGGAAAACAAGTGGAAATGTGGGACCCCTGCTTAACACCTCGGGACAGCCGGTAACGGACATTCAGGGAAAAAACTGAACTCCTGAATGCCCACTTTGCTTCAGTATTTCACCAGACCATGGGGAAAGTCAAGTGAGATAAAACTCATAGAGGGCATGCCAGGACCGACAGCCTCTGCTGAGCGGGTGCAATACCAACCAGAAAAGCTAGACATTTATAGGTCAGCGGGACTGGATGGACTCCATCCAAGAGTGCTGAAGGAGCTGGCTGAGGTCATCGTGGAACCCCTGGCAAAGCTCTTTCAGAATTCATGGTACATAGGGGAAATCCCTAAGAATTGGAAGAGGGCCAACATTTTGCCCATCTTCAAGAAGGGGAAGGAGGACGACTCTGGCAACTATAGGCCAGTCAGCCTAACTTCCATCCCAGGGAAAATCCTGGAAAAGCTCATTAAAGAATCTGTGCGCGATACGCTCACGGAAGCTAATATTCTGAGCGACAGCCAGCATGGCTTTGTCATGGGTAGGCCTTGTCTTACCAATCTCATCTCCTTCAATGATCAGGTCTCTCACCACCTGGACACTGGAGACACAATAGACGTTATATACCTGGACTTCCAAAAGGCTTTTGATCTAGTGTTCCATGATATCCTTGACCGAAAACTGGAAGATTGTGGGCTCAGCTGCTCGATGATTCATTGGGTGGGAACCTGGGTACAGGGTAGGACCCAGAGAGTTCTCATTAATGGATCAGTGTTGTCCTGGCATGAAGTGGCCAGTTCCTCAGGGGTCTGTGCTTGGACCAGTGCTTTTCAACACCTTTTATCAATGATTTGGATGGGGGAGTGAAAAGCTTGTTGGCCAAATTCATGGATGACACCAAGTTATGGGGCAGTGTGGTCACATCAGAAGATAGGCTGCAGATACAGGCAGACCTGGGCAGGTTTGAGACTTGGGCAGACAGGAACCAGATGAAGTTTAACACTTCCAAGTGTAAGGTGCTCCATCTGGAGGCAAACAACCCTCAACATACATACAGGTTTGGAGGTGACAGCTTGACTTGCACCACAGTCAAAAGGGACCTAGGGGTAATGACTGACCATCGTATGAATATGAGCCGTCAGTGTGAGGCGGTGGTCAGCACGGCAAATAACATGTTTGCATGCATCAACTGATGCATCTTGTATAAAAGCAAGAAAGTAATACTCCTGATGCACTCAGCACTGGTGAGACTGCAGTTGGAGTACTGAGTCCACAAAAACTTGAGAGGGTCCAGAAAAGAGCCACCTGTATGATCAGGGACTTGCAAGGCAAGCCATACGAGGAAAGGCTGAGGGACTTGAGCCTCTTTTGCCTAAAGAAGAGAAGGTTGAGAGGGGGCTTGATAGTAGCTTGCTACTATATCAGAAGAGTGTATCAGGAGCTCGGTGAACAACGGTTCACTAGGGCACCCCCAGGGAAGACCAGGACCAATGGATACAAACTCCTGGAAGGCCACTGCAGGCTTATAACCAGGAAAAACTCCTTC